AATCTTTATATACAATTTATTCAACAAGAAAAGGGTTTTTTAGAATGTTAAAATAAAACAAAACAATTTAGGAGGGATAAAATAGGTAAGTAAGTTAGCAACAAATTAACAAATAAAGTTAAGTACCCGTGTATTTTGGGGTTACTTTGCAAAAAAACCCCAAAAAAACAAAACAGACTAGAACAATTCCTAATATTCTTTTCACTTTTGGGTTCTCTTAAAACGTTATTCATATCGTTTACAAGGATCCAACAAACAGATAAGACAAAATCCCACACTAGAAAAAAATCAAATTCAAAGTCATTTTTTTCTTAAAATAGGTGCATTTATTCTCTGCTTGAGGAGGTAAAAGAGACATTTTGCCAATGGAACAAGGCAATATACACTTAAAATAAGAAAAAAACAACTGCATTGTCTTATTTCAAGTGTATATTATCTAATCATCTTATTTTAAGAGTAAAAATACTCAAATTATCTCATTTACCTACTCAAATTAAGGGTAAATACATTATTTTTTGCTAGTTTTTCCAGTGCATGAAAATCAGGCTGCTGATTTCCCACAATCCATTGCGGCGTTCCCGAAGGAGGGGTCCGCTCGGCTGTCTCCTCCCGTGGACAGTCTCTGGCAGCCTGACTGTGCAAAGACAGGCAGCGGTAGACCGGCGGGGGAGGCAGGCAGGCAGGCGGGCGGTGCAAAGGAAAGGAAAAGACAGGAGGAGGGGGGACATTCAGCCAGTGTCCCGGAATAAGCAGGACCACGGTACAGTTTGTCTCCTTTTTTCACCCATTTTTTTTGTTTTTCCTTTTTTTATTATTTAACGTGAAACGAGTTTCTCTGCAACCTTGAACAAAAAAAAAAAAAAAGAGCCGCATTTTAACCGAAACGACTGGAAACTCCCGAACTAACTGCAGACAAACTAAAGAGACGTTTAGTTTCTGGACGAATAATGGGATTTAAGGAACATAACTGCCAACAGTGAGTTTGAGATTAAAAGAAAAAGCGTTGGATAAAGACTAGAACTCTGCGTTTCCTCTGGGTCTTCTAGTGGGGAAAAAAAGAGGCAACAGCCGCCGGAGAAAGATGGCATTTAGAGGAGAAGAAAAGTAGCGTTAGCTCCGGAGCTAAGCTAGCACCGCTAAGCCTCCTTTCATTCCCGGAGCAGAGGAGGGGCGCTGGGGGCTGTAGCACTGCGGACCTGCCGTTGCGTTTACGGACTCACTGGAAGAATGGGAAAACCCAAACCCGTGCTTCGGTACCAGCTAACAGGACACTGCTGAACCCTCAAAAGAAAGGAACCGACTTTGATAATAGAGTGTTTCCCAGAGGAGAAGAGCTGCAGGAATCCACCGGCCTGGGGGCAGCCTCGGACTAGCCTACCCGCTTTCTTCTGCACCTCGGATGGGAAATAGGGCTTAAAATGGGGGAATCGCTTACATCTCACCCACCGTATGGATACTGGATCTGTACTGGGAGATCATGAAAGGCTCGGTTTTAAACGCAGCGTGTCCTCAGCATAAACTTTGATTATTTTCAACACATCCTCAAGGTGAGGGAACTTCTCTCCAGGCCCAACCTGCGCTAACCAACAGCACCGGAAGGCATTTCCTCCCTGTTTTATTTTTTTATTCGCCATCTGATTGCCTTTTTCGAAGCTAACAGGCCTGATTAATCATGTCGGGAGAGGTGCGTTTGAAGAAGCTGGAGAAGCTGGTCCTGGATGGGCCAGCTCAGTCTAATGGCCAGTGTATGAGTGTGGAAACCCTGCTGGATATACTGGTGTGCCTGTACGATGAGTGCAACAACTCCCCCATTAGAAGGGAGAAGAATATCCTGGAGTTTCTGGACTGGGGTGAGTGTTTTTAAACTTATTGTTTGGCTCCTGTGCAGCTCAGCCTCCCTGACTCTGAGGGAAGATAATAGCAATGTTGGTGGTGCAGTGGCCCTCCCTTCACCTTCACATTCCTTTTATAGTAGTAGTAAGGACTCACTTGGCTTTTCTCTCTCTTGCTGCAAGGCCTCTGTGTTCTTGTGTAATCAAAAGTTTTTATATGGCTTGGCAAGTCACAACACATGGCAAGCTGTCAGGGTTACAGGAAAAGTATTTAAAGAGAGTTAGAAGACCTTTTCCTCCTCTTCTATGTAGAAATACACCCATTACAACTGGTACCATATCCTTTCCTATTGATATTTATGTACTGATTCATAAATGATGAGATTATTGATAACTTGATGGGTGAATATCATCTTTTATGCACTAAATTAAAATAAAGTGCTAACTTCTGGTGCTTTGTTGGTGCATCTTCACTCCAGCATGTTCATTTTTGCATCAATAAGAATCGGTGGATAAAAAATGAAGCCCTCTTTGACATATTGCATGTCAATTTGCAATCAAAGTAGGTTGTTTTTTCTTAAAATCGGTGTATAGTATCTTGTTTTGAGCAGGTATTTAGACACTTCGCCAATGGAAACGGATTACGTATGCCTAAAATAAGGAAAAATATATATTTTCTTATTTTCCTTGGCAGATTATCCTTTTTACCTGCTTCAAATACACTAATTTTAAGGAGTTTTGTTTGGTTGCAAAGAAAGTATTTCTCTGAAATGAATGGTGGAGATCATTTGCAGCCAATGTTCTCTATTTTAAGGTTTAAAAAACCCTCCATGTTGTTCCTTTGATTTAATGAGATCTCTCTAGGTTGCTGTGCACTACCAGTCAGCTGGCTGAAATAAAGTTGCTGCGCTTTTACTCTTCTCAATTAAATCATTTTTTTTTACTTGTTTAAAATATAACTAGAATGAATATTTGCACCTAAATAATTTTTATTAATTTGGTTATTGAAGCTGATTTGATGTGGTTTTCGGTTTGCTACATATGAAAAAAACGATCTGAGGAGCAGAGGCTGAGAGGGCTGACAGCTGTTTAGATTTCACACCAGCTTTTTATTTGTTTTTGGGTTGTTTTTTTTTTTTTTTCTTTGCATAGTTTTAGGTGAACCTTGATCGGTTTTCGACCATGTCGCTCATAATGGTGTCAAACTTTAGACGAGAGGCAAAAAGCCATGAGGCAGAAGGGCCACAGACACAAACAATGCGATCCTTTTGCCTCGCCAGAAGCACTTTGTGTGTTTGTGTGTTTAAGCATGTGTGTGTGACTTTGGGGTTTGGTTTGTGCATGAAGCTGGAATGTGAACAACTCACCTTTTTTTTTTTTTTTTTATTATCTAGTGCAGAGGCCCAGCTCGCTGCCGGAGCATGCCTCGCTCGTCTCTCTCCCTCTCTACTTTTTTTTTTTTAAAGCTTTTAAAAAAAAAAAAAAAAGAAGTGCAGCGATGCAGGAGCAGATTGTTCCCTTCGCAGGCAGAAACATGAATCAAGACAGATTAATAATACAGGAGGCATTAAGAAACACGTGGATCATGGAAAGCTACGGGTTGCTGCAGCGTATGTTGCTGGCGTCCTGTTTGAAGGGGGCTGCATTGCAGGAATGGTTAAAGCAGGCAGCAACAGGCTCTGTTTGGTTCAGCCAATCGGTGGGAGTCATCCCAAAATGGGATTGCAGCTGGAGAGTTGGTCTAGCATCTGGCTGAGATGTTTGTTTTTTTTGTCCAGAAAAACTCCTTATTTTGAGTTTAAAGTGAAAAAAGGCAACATGCATCCTCTGCTTTTGGAGCTGGGGTCTGTTTGCTTTTTAGGACCCCTGGTTTTGGCTCCTGGTCACTGGTTGTCAGCTGATCGCCATCAATGATGCCAGCACTCTCCCCCTGGCTTTTCAAAGAGCAGTGCGGTGCCAACTTGTGACTTCATCCTGACATTTTCCTGTGTTGACACTAGAAACTCTTGGCTTATCCCAGCCAGACACAACGCGCTGTCGCGTGTTGTGTCCGAGCTGTCATTCGTCCAGAGGGGCCATGTTGCTGCTGCTGCTGCCTGTTTTCTGCTCTTTACTTAATGGGTCTCTTTATGGTCCTGTTATATGGTATTCAATGAAGTTTTAAGACTAGTTAATGCCTTTGATAAACTTTAGTGTTTTTTTCTTATTTCAGGAAAACCTAAGAGATTTAATGTCTCATTGGATCAGGTGCACAATGACTAGAGTCGCTAACCTGGCTTGTTTGGGTTCAAGGGGGATTTTTTTTAACTGGTGTTTAAAGCCTTACTTCCCTAGCATCATTTTTTTTTAATAGTGCTGTCCAGTTTTGCCATGAAATAAAAATTGGATGCACCTTAGATCCTCTTGATCAGACTACATAGTCATAGGACTTTACTGTGGCCTAAAGAAATGCTTATTTCTTCTAGGTATGAATCTTTGCTTTAGCTGCAACTCTTAACTTCCTTTCTGTGAGGTAGAACCCCCTAAAGCGTATTATCGCCATCTAATGGGCTGGAGTGATGAAGTTAATGTCTTATTCTTGTTTAAGTAGACATTGTAAGTTTTGACCCATGTGCTAGCATAATTTGAGATATATTAATAATTTAAAATGCAGCACTTGGTGCGTTTTGATGCTCTGTGTGAGCATTGGCAAACAGGATGTAATCTAGAGGGGTGAATGTTTCCTTATCTTTTGTTGTAACTTCATGACTTCTCCTGCTGCTGGTCTAAATTGGTCTAATGCAATTAAAAATGTGTTAAGCAAAATCGCAGTGCCAGCACTAGCCTTCAGGAGCTTTAAAGTCGTAGGGAAGTCGTATTTAAATGTCAACTCATTCTGGCTTAAAGGTGTATATAAATGTACTCTTTATCAGACCATATTGTCCCAAAAGTTATCTTATGCAGGCCAGTTAGTTATACGTCAGCCTGAACACCTAAATTCGGCTAATCATATATGAACGGTCATCTGTAAGGCAAATTTTTTTGGTCACAGCATCTTAATTCATCATCCTCTTCCACAACATCTCCATCCCCGCTTTCCTCCTCTCAATAAAACATGTATGATGGAGGAGACTCATCCACGACTTCTGACACAAATCTCTCCTCCTCTTGCATGTTTCCTCTGTCCATAGCGTTCCTTGACAGTGTTGTTTCTAAGTCACCAATTTAGTGCTACTTGGTCCCAATGGAATTTCCTATTGGGAACCTACTAGCACTAAGTTGCTAACTGGTTAGCAAGATGCTTCCGAGAAACTGGCTACAACCAAACTTGCTTGTGATCTTTCCTGCTCCCTTGATAATTGACCAATCAACTTTTCTTTATTAAGTTGGGCACCACTCGGGAGAATTCGGAAATTTAAACGGCTGGAACAGCCGCTTCCCTACGACTTTATATGTGGGAGTTACATGTCTAGTGCCCCTAGTTGCTAAAATTGCAGTGACCAATAATCTAGTCTCTTCAGTTTTTTCCCCCCATTTAATTTCATTTAATTGTCCAACTTTAACTATAAAAGGAACAGCTTAGCATCAGCTAACTTAATCCAAGATTGGTAACTGACTGTAGTGTCACTGCTGCACAAGCCTCACCTATGATGCACGTTTCTGTATTTTCTGGAAAAGCTGATCAGCTATCTGAGGTAAATATTCAGAACTTAGAGGGGGACTGATATTGCAACTTTGACTACTGACTGATGCCAATGATAACCCGATAGGATATCAGCATCATATGTACTTTTACACCTTATTTTATAGTGTGGAATGACAGAAAAGGATTGATCCAGTTATTATAGTTAAAAAGAAAACAATACTTAAAGGTATAGTGGAGGATGTTTTTTTTCCAGGTGGATCATTGAAATAAGTGGTCCTCCTAATTGTCAATCATTCTGGTGATATGTTTACGTAAGGCCGTCCTACAGGCTCCTGCCCATTTTCACTTACTAATGGTGAATCTGACAGAGTGGAAAAATTTCAAATCTTTTGAAAAATAAGCTCATATGAGCGATGCAGACAGAAACTTTTATACGGACTTCATACATACTCTTTTTCTCAGTCAGATGGTTTGTCTCCAGTAATGAGTTGAAGGAAGACAGTTGTCTTAAAATAAACAAAAAATTAATCAACATAGTGTTTGTCAAGCTGCTGCTTTAAAACAAACTTAGAGCTGTACCTTTTATGTTTTTTGGGAAAAAAATAAATATTTGGATTCCTAGTTTAAGTATCTCCCCAGTACTGTTTCCGGGTCGTTTCTGTTTTTTTTTTTTTTATATATATATGTATATAAACTGTTTGTTTTTGCTGAATAAACACCAATGGGAGTAAATCCTTAAACCATAATGGAGGAAGCTTTCCATCGTTGTCTAAAGGAAATAGTCTCGTCTGGATTCCAGCACTGCGTTGAGACTCCCAGATCAGCAGACCGCACCTTTCTTTTACAGCCAGCAACAAAATTAGGATAGAATTAGGGTCAAGTCCTGTCTTGTCCTTTTTAAAGGGAAAATAAAAGGTCTGAGAGTGTCGCCACTCCCACTTTGTGTTTTTTTTTCATCTGTGGAGGAACACCCAGCCACAGGGTCAAAGGGAAAACATGCACACCTGTTACATGTGTAACACTCTGGGGTATTCGGACCGTTCTAGGAAACGCTGGCCGTCTATCTCTGCTTTATGGACACAAACTCCCCTCGTAGCCAATTGGAAGCAGACGTACGGCGTTAAACAGCCTCTCAAAGCACGCTGTAATCCTACATGTAGAAAAATGGTTCAAGATGGGGCTGCTATGAAACCTTAGACCTCCGCAGCTCATGAGCAGCCACCAAGAGGTCCAACCTCTTTGTAGCTGCGCCTGTACGTGTTTTTACAACCACACGGATGTGACAAAGGTGGAAGCCATGCCCCCCCCCTCCCTTTTCCTGCAAATCTTTAAAAGCCAGAGAAGAAGACAAACATTTTTATAAGGTTTGCTTCCCTTCCTTGTTTTGCATCCA